GCCTTCTTTATCCTGGATTTTAGCTTTGACATTGTCAATTGTATCGGAACTCTCAACCTCAAGTGTAATAGTCTTTCCTGTCAAAGTTTTTACAAAGATCTGCATACCACCACGTAAACGGAGAACAAGGTGGAGGGTGGACTCCTTTTGGATGTTGTAGTCAGCAAGGGTACGACCATCCTCAAGTTGCTTTCCAGCAAAGATCAACCTTTGCTGATCCGGAGGAATGCCTTCCTTGTCCTGAATCTTTGCCTTAACATTATCAATTGTGTCTGAGCTCTCAACCTCGAGAGTGATAGTCTTCCCAGTTAAAGTTTTTACAAAGATCTGCATACCACCACGCAGACGAAGGACAAGGTGGAGGGTAGACTCCTTTTGGATATTGTAGTCAGCAAGAGTTCGGCCATCCTCTAACTGCTTTCCAGCAAAGATCAACCTTTGCTGATCTGGAGGAATTCCTTCCTTATCTTGGATCTTTGCCTTAACATTGTCGATAGTGTCTGAACTCTCAACCTCGAGGGTGATGGTTTTGCCAGTGAGGGTCTTTACAAAGATTTGCATCTATATTTAATCAAAAGAAAAGCATTAGACAAAAGGAAATACTAATTTTTAAAAATATAGGTAAGGGAAATAAAAACCACGCACATAAGAACACATAGCATGAACCAATTCCTTAACACATGGATATAGATATCGAGAGAGTGCATAAACATAAAAATTGATTGATTTACGTGAGATCTACATAACAGCATGAAGTAATAACCCAAAATTTACAAAGAGAGGAGTATTAAAATAAGGTTAGATTCAAACACAAGTCATATATCATACCACATAGGTCTATAAGCCAATTCAATCCCTCGTCCTCATAATTTCATATATGATGTTATAGGTAAACAGAGTAATTTTTTTTTTTTTGATATCCGTGGTGTGCGGGCCAGCTTGCGCGCACCTCGACTAATTCCACGGGATACCTGACACCTCCCACCAGCAACAGGTACCAGATAACTCTATCTACCAAGGCTTGATATAAACAGAGTAATTAAAAAAGCAGCTTTTTCACATATAAACACAAGCACTAATTGACTAAAAGATAGTTTACCACAAGGATTGCTAATAATGAAATAATTAGATCTAGATCAATAAAAGACGCAGGAATATAACATCACCGATTAAAACTTAGATCTAATAAAAGGCCAATACATAACGCTCAACAAAGACAACGAGAATAAAGACAAGCAAGTAAATTCTGTAATTTTCAATCGACCGGATCAATATATTTAACAGAAACAGAGATTAAACAAATTCACGAAAGGTAAAAAATTGACAACAGATCAGATCCGTGCTAAGATCAGATCGAAACTAACAGATCTGAAACAAATAATCAGATATACAACATACATAAAGGAAAACAAAAGAAGAAAGAGAATTTGAAGAAGAAAACTAGAAAAGGAGAAAATTGTACCTTGAAAAGGTTGTTGGGAATCAAACGAGCGAGAAAAGAGAGCTTCTTAGAGAAGGAAAAGCAGAACAAATATATTATAGAGAGAAGAACGAGAAGTGAGGAAGATTAGAATAGAAGGGTCCCTTTATATAGGACGTGATGGCCTACCTTCTCCTTGTAAATAACGGAGTGGGTGGGATCCACTTTTGGATAGGTTTAGGTAAACCATTAATTTAAGCGATTCTATAAGGCAGAATACCCCACGCTTCTACCGTAAAGTTTTTACATTTCGGTCCTTCTACTGTATAAAGTTTCAATCAGATCAAAACATATGTTTTAAGCACTTTTGACACTACGTGTTGCTTACTCGAGTTGACACAGAGAACATATCAGATACACCTCACCTAAATTAAACCATTATTTATTTTATAAAATATTATTTTTTCAATATATCCAAGATTCATTTTTATGCCTTCTTTTCTTCTGCTTCCGCCTCCCCCTTCAACAATTGTAGCTGGTCTCCTCGCACAAAACAAAAACAACGAACGGACCAGAGATATAGAACAACAAACAACATCACCGACCGAAAAACCCACTATGTATCAGTCTCTACGTTATCAATGAAGAATTTCAAAATCCTCTTAAGGAAAAAAAAATCACATCTTTAGCTTTTTTTCACTTTCTGTTCATTGTCTTCATAAAGCAAGACACCAAAAAAAAATTTATGGATACAATCTTAACATCCATTAAATTTAATGGCCACAGTTATTCCAATTGAAAGGTTACCGAGATCTGAAATTCTGAAATGTAATAGCACCCACTATCGCCTAATACCCCCCTACCCCCAATAGAAATGGTCCAATTATCTATCTCTAGTGGTTGCCGTGGAAATTACTTTTCTGTGGCGATGTGGGATGTCACTGGTAGATGAAAAGGTGGTGGGGAGGGCTGTTGCAGTGAGTTTTGGATTAAAATGGGGNAGGGGGCGGCGCAGGGCAAGCAGAACATATGTGAGAGAAAAGCAATCTTTGACCATTTTTTCTTTCTTCTAATTTGATTCTTCTATTTTTCTTTTTCGTTTTCCTTATTTTAATAATTTTTGGTTTAAATTTTTATGCTCATGCTCCTTACACGCGTGAAATACATGTATTTTGTCCAGTTCAATAATTAAGTTGCCACATAAACTTGGTCAATGGTCAGAGGGGTTTAAAATAGCAACTTTGAATAATTATAAGTGTCTAGATGAAATTTTATTAAGTATAGGGACCGGAATGACAAACGCGAACAACTACGAGTGTTTATGAGGCTATTCCCCCATTCTATATTGCACTGCCAACCGAATAATAAATAAAATTGACTAATTAAATAATAGTAGGAGTAGTTGTCAGGAGTGTGCATGGACCGAGTTGCTCGGTTATTATCAAAACCAAACAAACCAACTATATCAGTTTGGATTAGTTCGATTTTGACGGGGTTTTTCGGGTTTTTGTTACTTAGATATTGTTTCAATCTTACTTTGTTCAATTTTTTATAAGTAAATATATGTTTAGTAAAATTTAAAAAAATTGACAAACATATTATATATTAAATATTCTTATGGGAGAATCTAATTAGTCACACATGATAGTTATATTTTTAGTCGTCTGACAATAATTTTTCGTTGATGTACACTTTCAAGGTTAATCGTATTTAGTAATTAAACATAAAAATCAATATTATACCTAAATAATAATAACCACTTCAAATTCGAAAAAGACATAAGAATTTAATAGATAGATCTTGATATATGAATATGGAAGAATAAAGAGATTGACGCATTTCAATAACACTTGATATGAAATGATCACACAACCCATTATTTAAGGTTAATAAATATGGAGCACTTCATATTTTATTAAATATTATACCCCGTAAGAGAATCCCAAATATTTCTAGATATTTTTTAAAGAAAATTCTATATAAAATCTTAAAAATATATATAAAAATTATATATTTATATGTCGGTTTAATTGGGTTTTTTTTTTTTACTCAATACCAAACCAAATCAAACCAAACCTAATCGGATTTTTTAATCGGTTTGGTTTGACTTTTCGCTTTGGTGTGATTTTTCAGTTCAATTTATACACCCCTAGTTGCCAGCTAAGGATTATAATCGTTACCCCATTCTTTTTCCATTTCGGAGTGGGAGGTATTTTTTTATTACTCCTAATATACCTCCCGTCTGTTATAAATATATTATATTATGGATGTTCATTTAGTAATCCGTTGTAAATAAGCTTCCTGAAAAAGCTCATCTATATGAGACTCTGCCGTAAATATGTTTATCTATTTAGTACTCTATTGAAAATAAGCCTCCCGAAGAAGCTTCTCCTTTCGGTACTCCGGTAGAAGATTATCTATATATGGTACAATGAGCTTATCCTTTCGGTACTCCATTATGGATAAACATCACCCCGATAGAAGATTATCTATATCGGGTACAGTAGCAGCTTGCAAAAGCAGCTTACACAACAGCTTCCTTTCTTCTATAAATAGAGGAGATTTCAGTTCATTGCGTACAGAAGTTTGAAGTTTGAATAATATATCAGTTTCTCTCTATACTTGTCTTTACTTTACAGTCTTTATTTTATAACACGTTATCAGCACGAGACTCTGTCATCTTGAACAAATACTTTGAAAGTATCAGAGAATATGGATAATCCTTAAATTATATTTGGATCGAAGACCAATCATGAAGATATTTGTGTAATTGATAGTGGAACAACTCATGCCATATTCAAAGATCAAAAATATTTTTCTTATTTCCATAAGGAAAAAGCAAATGTTTCAATAATTTCTGATAATATAAGTTTGATTGAAGGCTCCGGAAGAGCCACTATATTTCTGTCTAAGGGAATAAAACTTATTATAGTCAATGCATTATTATCCTCCAAGTCCCAAAGAAACTTGTTAAGTTTTATAGATATCCGCCGAAATGGGTATCATATTGAGACGGTAGATGAAATGAATATGGAATATCTTTGTATTACAAAGAATGTTTCTGGACAGAAGTGCATTGTACAAAGTTACCAACTTTATCTTCTGGCTTATACTATTCAAACATTAGTACAGTTAAAGCGCACTCTATCGTAAATCAGAAGTTTACTGATTCAAATATTTTTGTGCTTTGGCATGGTCGTTTGGGCCATCCTGGATCAATAATGATGAGACGAATTACTGAAAATTCGAGTGGGCACCCATTAAAGAACCTGAAGATTCTTACAAATAATGAATTTTCTTGTGATGCTTGTTATAGAGGCAAAATGATCACTAGACCATCACCAATGAAGGTTGGCATTGAATCTCCTGCCTTTTTAAAACATATACATGGGGATATATGTGGACCCATTCACCCACCAAGTGGGCTGTTTAGATATTTTATGGTCCTAATAGATGCATCTTCAAGATGGTCTCATGTGTGCCTACTATCATCTCGTAACCTGGCGTTTGCAAAGCTATTAGCCCAAATAATTCGATTAAGGGCACAATTTCCGGATTATCCTTTAAAGGCTATTCGCCTAGATAATGCTGGAGAATTCCCATCTCAAGCTTTTGATGATTATTGTCTATCAGTTGGGATAAAATTTGAACATCTTGTAGCTTATGTTCATACTCAAAATGGCCTTGCAGAGTCATTTATTAAACGCATGCAATTGATAGCAAGACCACTACTTATGAAAACAAAATTGCCCACTACTGTTTGGGGCCATGCTATCTTGTATGCAGCATCACTTATCCGTCTCAGACCGACACATTATAATAAATATTCTCCATCATAATTAGTTTTTGGTCATGAACCAGATATTGCCCATCTACGAATTTTTAGATGTGCTGTATATGTGCCAGTAGCACCATCACATCGCAGTAAGATGGTCCCATAGAGAAGGTTAGGAACATATGTTGGGTTTGAATCACCCTCTATTATTCACTATCTTGAACCATTGGCAGGAGATTTATTTACTTCTCGATTTGCAGATTGTCGGTTTGATAAAATAAATTTTCCACAATTGGGGGAGAGAAAAAGGAAATCAAAAGAGAAATTATGTGAAAAGTTTCATCATTATCTCATTTTTGATCCACGTACCCCTATATGTACTCAGGAGGTCCAGAAGATCATCCATTTACAAAATATAGCAAATCAAATAACAGACGCATTTACTGATTTGAAAAGGATAACTAAGTCACATATCCCTGCAGAGAATGTGCCTATCCGAATTGATGTCCCGGCATGACCATCTACTAGCATGAGAGCTAATGAACCTAAAGCACGCCTGAAGCGTGGTAGGCCTTTGGGTTCTAAGGATCGAAATCCTCGAAAAAGAAAAACGACAAATGATAACGATACTACGAATGGATCTCCTGAAGAGACCAAAGATCTGATTAGTTCTGAGATTCCTGAAGAAATCAATGAACCCGAGACTCAAGTGAGTGAGAAGATTTTAATAAGTTCTACCGGTGAAGGGATTAATTTAAATCGATCTGAAGTAGTAGTGGATAATATTTTTGCATATAATGTTGCAATTAACATTATGCAAGATAGTGAGGATCTTGAACCCCGATATGTCGAAGAATGTCGACAAAGATCTTATTGGCCAAAATGGCAAGAGGTAATTCAATTAGAATTGAATGCACTTGCTAAAAGAGAGGTCTTTGGACCAGTAGTCCAAACACCTGGTGGTATAAAATCAGTTGGTCATAAATGGGGTTTTGTGCGAAAAAGGAATGATAAAAATGAAATTAAAAGATACAAAGCTCGCCTTGTTGCACAAGGATTCTCACAACGACCTGGAGTCGATTTTGATGAAACATATTCACCTGTTATGGATGCCATAACATTTCGATATCTCATCATTTTAGCACTACATGAAAAGCTTGAAATATATCTAATGGATTGTAACGGCCCAACTTGTCGTTTTAAGAATTAACGCCCCGTTCAACGATTTAAGGTCCCTGAAAACTTCATAATATGTATTATGACCCGCAGGTGTGGTCGAGTTTGATTTTCGGAAGATTTAGAATTTAATTGAAAGAGAAATTCTCATTTTGAAGCTTAAATGGAAAGAGTTGACTTTTGAGCAAACGATCCCGGAA